TCTTGGGAACACAGAGAACTTTTGCTTTTAGTCCCCCGCAGCACACGGGTGGCTTAAAGGCGACTTTCAGCACAGCGGCTCGTTTTCCTCTCAATTTCTTTATCCCCTGTAATCCCAGATGCAGGCTGGTGCCCTCGGAGTTTCCTCCGGAGTTTATCGCCGTGGTGCTGCCCAGCGCTTTTTCAGCTGGGTGGCTCTTCAGGTTGTCCTCCTGCTCAAGGTGTCCTCTGGACTACAAATTATAACCTTCCTTTATATCTCAACCCTGCTTTTAACTATAATTAAAGTCACGGAGTGCTGCATAAACGGGGAGACTGAATCGGGGACATTGTCTCCTGCACCCGCATTCATGACCTCCCATGGGGGATAATCCCTCATGTCCCACCCTTCCTCTCCTGCCTGCCGTGCGCAGCTCTTGTCCCACCAAGGAGAAAATCACTTGTGTTACTCAAATGCCTCTATCACAGGGCTGGGCGAAGGTGGTTGTGCAACCCGAAGGGCTTTTCAGTGTTTATCCCTGTTCAGCCAGTGAACATCTTGATTGAACTTCCCACTCTCCCGATTTGCATCAGTCTAACGTCAGCTCTTGGTTTGGGGTTTTGCTGTGTCCCTTCCCTGCTGGAGCATCTGCCACCCCCAACTCCCTTCTTCCCCAGCATCCTGGTTTTCTGAGCTCATCCCTGTGACGCTGGAGACATTTGGCCCGTGGGCACGATGTGGCTCCACTGGAGCATCCATCCCTTCCCCCTAGCCCTTTCCTGGGGCAGCCCTGTGCAGGCTGGAGAGCAGGGGAAATATTTCTGTGGTTGCATCAGGGTGTTCCTGGCTCCCGCCTTTCCCCGTGGATACTGGGAGCTCCTGCACCACTGGGGCTTCCCCAGCTGCTCTCAACACTCTGCCTTCAGCCCTCTGGCTCTCCAAGCCCCTTGGGTTTTCCCACTGGATCTTGTCCAGGGCCCGACCTCGAGGAACCACTTTTCCTGCACACGTGCTCATGTGTGATGTTTACCCGGGGTTCATGGTGTGCTGAGCCCTGTGGGGGCCTGGGATGTTCCCTGCTTCTCCTGCTGCATCATGTGCTTGTGGAGCTGCCAGGGATGGCACAGTCCCCAGGGATATGTGCCTTCCCGGGGGGCCTGATCCTGCACAAAACCTGCTGGAAATCTCTGCCAAGGGTGTATCACCCTGCCCTGGGGAGATGTTTGGGTGGAGTCCAATGTGGGAGGGAGGAGGAGAAGTGATGGTCACTGGGTGCAAGGAGGATCAGCCCTGCGTTGGTGGCTGGTGACCTCCTTTCCTCTGAGATGCCATCCTGGGGGCTCCTGACATGTTGCTGCCTGGGAAAGACACTGATAGGGTTGGCACACACAAATTGGAGCTGTCCCCACATGTTCCTGTGCCCAAACCGAGCACCAAGACACTCTAAACCCTTCTGGGTCACAGCACTGTGACATTTCCCTTGGGGAATCTCTTGCGTCAACTTCTACTTAAGTGAAGCAAACAACTAAACAAAAGAAACAGCTTTTACATCCCCAAACGCCTGCTCATTCCTCCCTGCAGGGTTTTGTTCTCTGGCTGTGTCGGGACTAGCCAGGACAGGCCTGGCCGAGGGTGCTGCGAGGGCTGTGTGGTGTTGGAGCCCTGGGCAGTGCCTCACTGCTGTCCTGGGGGTGGTGATGAGTCTGTTCCTATCCTGGTTACAGGGTTTATATGAATTTTTACCTTTTGTGGTGCCCAACACTAAGTTTTGAGAGGACTGGCACATCCTCAGCACTCACCTGCAGTGCAGGAGGTGGATGGGAATCATTTTGGGCTGGAATTGGGGCTTTCCTGTACTCCTGTCATCTGGGAGTTGCTAGAATGATGATGCCCTCTCTGCTCTGGGTTTGGTCCTTCCCGAGGACCATGACCATCTGAGAACGACATTCCCCGAAGGCAGGAGCTTAGCGGCTTGTCCCTGATGGGAATGGGTGGTGTCTCCTGGAGAGGAATGCTCACAGCCTTCCCAGCTGGATCCATCCTACTGGAAAACAGTAGTGCTGGTGCAGCTGCATTTTGCAGAGATGGGATGGTTTGGGTGAGATGCTGGAGGGGTTGCATTGCAGAGCCCTTGCTAAGCTGACTGACCACAAGGAGGAGAACAAATACTTTTCCATTAGAAAAATGAATGGCATTTTAAACTTTTTCTCCTTATAATACCTTAGGTGGAACAGGGCCTCAAGATGCCACTGGGACCAACCTCTGCTCAGTCTTTCAAGTTAGTGCCAGCATGAGAAGGTTTTTCTTATCTTTCCTTCCATAAATCCCAGGAAGATAAAGAACCTTGGGCACAGGGTGCTTTTCCTGCTGCTCTGGCTGTGTATCCTCAGAGCCTGTGATGGGGTGGGTCATCACCCTTCCCACCCTCTTGATTTGCATCATGTGGTAATTTTGCATTTATTTGCAAAGAGGAAGGAAGAAATCCTTTACTTAGAGAGGAATTCTTCACTGTGAGGGTGTTGAGGCACTGGCACAGGTTGCCCAAAGAAGCTGTGGTTGCTCCATCCCTGGAAGTATTCCAGGCCAGGTTGGATGGGGCTTGGAGCAACCTGGTCTAGTGGGAGGTGTGTCTGCACATGGCAGGGGAGTTGGAACTGGATGATTTTTAAGGTTTCTTGCAACTCAGCCCTTCCAGGATGCTATGGAAATTGTTGTGCCCTGGTTTTCAGAGCAAGCAAGAGGCAGGGTGAACTTGCTCAAGGTCTCCCTAAAATATGGAGAGGTTGGAGCACCCTCCTTCCCTTTCCTAAGTGCGAGTGGATTTGAGGAATGGGTTTGAAAAGGCAAATGCAGATTGCAATGAGCAACTGCTTTATGTGGCTATTAAAGAAAATGCCCAACTATGCTGTAATGCAAAAAATAACAGGGGAAGGGGGGGAAGAGGGAGGGTTTAAATGAACTTGAGAGAAAACAAATTACAAAAATTACACTAACAGCAGTAAAGTCTGTGAAATGACATTTTGGCATAAAAGGCAGAGCAAGACTAATTAAATGTTTAATGCTCGTAAGAGGCATTGGCACATCTCAAGGTATCAAGTGTGATAAAGATGTAAGTAGTTGTCATCTGCTTTGGCATCTGATCTGGACAAACCTGATTGCTCCCCCTTGTCCTATTGCAGCCAGAGCCAGTCTGGCCTCGGGGATGTTACCCTGGCCCCTGGGTCACTCTTTGCCTCAGGAATGTCACCCTGGCCCCTGGGTCACTTGTGGTCTTAGACATGTCACTTCTGCTCCTGATTGCAGCTGGATGCTTGCAGCATGGCTCTTTCTGGTCCTGCAAGCCAGGCACAGGGAATGCCACTGGCTCCCAGCATCCAGCTCCTAACGTGGGATGTGGGGCTTGGGGTTTTTTTTTGAAAAAAAAAAAAAGGAAAGCCAACCTCAGGCAAAAGGGAATTTATAGCAGAGTCCTAATTTGTACCCAAATTGTGTGATCTGGGAGCCGCATACCAGTGAGTGCAGCTTTTGGGTCATTCCTATCCCTCTGGCTGTGAATCTCCATGGGATATTTTACATGCGGTGCCTGGCTGAGATCCCTGGGCTCATTGCATAGCCCCAGGGCTTTATCCGTGCTTTTGGGATGAAAAAAGAGGAGTTGTGGTGTCTCCAGATGCTGAGATGAGAGGGCCAGAGGCAACACAACCACCCTGGGGCTTGGCAGGGTGGTGTGGCTGGCACTATGTTTTCCTGCAAATCCTGCCATCCCTGACTCCAGACTAAGCTCATTTATATCCCACACTTCCCAGGAGCATCCCAGGACTAGCAGGGATCACATCACCTCTCCTTACAGGGCTGTTCACGCTGCCGGGGCGAAGCCGAAGTGTCGGGTGGAGAAAGCAGGAGGATGAGGCACAGCTCCCCCGGCTCTGCCGCAGCTGCTGAGCTCATTTTTAGCTCATTATTTCTGCTTGGGAGCTGATGAAAGGCAGTTCGCAAAGATGCATTTAATGGGTGAAAATTCATAAAACTGTTTTCCGGGCTCTGTTGTGCCGGTGCAGCGTCCGGCCACCAACGCTGTTTGCCACAGTGGTGGCACTGGGGTTTGTGCCAGCATCCTGCATCCTCCCCTGAACCCCAGGAGGGATTTGGGGTGCAGGGCACGGCTGCACTGGTGCACAAAGGGATGTTGTCAGCAGCAAAGTAGGGGGAAAAACCAAAACCAAAACTACTCTCCCTTTTTGCAGATTGGAAGCTTGGAAAACTACTACCACTTTCACCACAGCAAGACGTTTAAGCGCTCGACACTGAGCAGTCGGGGACCGCACAACTTCCTCCGCATGGACCCCAAGGTATGGGGCAGAGCAGCTTGGGGTCCCCCAGCCACTGTGGGGCTGGTGGGATGCGGGTCCCCTCTTCCCCCTGGAGGAGCCTGTTGGCTTAGTCCAGGTCAAGCGTGAGCGGAAGCATCTTGGGATGACATGTTATCCTTGAACTGTAGCCCTGCACATGTACGGGGTGACTCATTGGACATGGGTATGGAGATCGGTGGTGAAAAATACTTAAAAGTGACTAAACACTAACATCTGCCTGAAAGCAGTGATGAAGAAAAGGGGGGAAAAGCTTTCCAGGACAGAAAGGCTGTTGCATGCTCAGGGTGTTGATCCAGTTGCCACAACACTTGCTGCCTCAATGGTTGCTATGTGTGAAATCCTTGGCAATAGCTCTGCATTGCTTTTTCCTAGAGCAAGTATCCAAAGGGATTTTCAGCACAGCTGAATTGACAAAAGTAATGGGGAGGGGGGGAAGAAGGCAAGGAGGGACCTGGGTGAGCTGGGGTTGGGCTGGTGGGAAAGGGCTGGAACTCTGACTTGGCTGTTCTCCTCCCTCAACTCCTCCCGAGCCCTGTGAGACATGACTTCTGCAGAGCAGGGGAAGGGTTAATGGTGGGGAGGGTCTGTTTTTGGGGAAGAGTGAGACATAAATGCAAAAAAAGCCATTTAGATGAAGCCTGGCTTGGCCATCCCCGTGGATGCTCCCAGCCACCCTTGGGATGTTCTTTCCCAAGATATCTCCAACCCACTCAGCACCACACATCCCATCTGCATCTCTCCAGACACGCACAGCAGCCCTGCGCTCCCCAGCCAGACTTTCCGGAGAGATTTGCTGTTAAATATTTGGACAAGGTCTGTAGCACATTTCTGAGGAGGCACACGCGTGGCTGCGTTGCCGGCGGGGGAAACCTCAGCGAGGGGAGTGCTGGTGCCCTGGAAGTGTGCTGGGCTTTAATTAAAGCTGTTTGCCCTCGGGGAGGTGCACAGGCATCTCAGCAAATGATGAATTCAGCTCTGCGTTTGAAATATCTCCATTTAAATGAGTCTGGCTACAATGCAAGCTAAATCAATTGCCTTTTAGACATATTAACATTTAAGTTACCTTGCTCTACGTGTTGGAAGCTGGAGCAATTAGCTCCTTTTCTCTTAATCCTTCCTTATCAGTTCAAGACCCATTGGCACATCTTTGGTCTCTCGCTCTCCCATGCACATTTGCAAATCGTTTTGGAGATGCATTTGGATGGCACCAGCTTAACATGCAGGAAAACATCACCTGGAGGCACGAGGATAGGAGCTGGAATAGCAAAGAAGGAAACAAATCTTGCTGAAATCCCGAAGAACCAGCCAATCCAGTTGTTTGCAGATGTTGGATGGTTTGTGCCTTCCAGGGGTTATTTTTTCCAGAGCCGTTATTTAGGTGTTTGCCAGGTGGGGGTTGGAGGCAGGAGCTGGGCAAGAGGACCATGGCCCAGCTCCCCCTAAGGAGGAGTCTGGGGAAGGGGAGCCACAGCAAACACAGGGCAGCACTCTGGGTCCTGGTCCTTGTGGGACCACACTGCTGTCGAGCTCCTCTGTTCCCCCAATAGACTCTTGAGTCTGGTGGTTGCTTTAATTCTTGCACAGCCACTGGAATAAGTCAAGCTATCACTTTTCTGAAGCTGCAAGGGAGTCACACCCTCACCTGTGCTGGTTATTGTGTTTGGTGGAGCCTCCCTCGATCTGGCCATCATCTGCTGAAAATCTCAAAGTGAGGGGGAACATAAAAAACCTGCTGCTCTCTTTACAGGAAGGATGAAGGGTTCAGCTTGGTGATGCTTGGTGATACCTGTGCTGACTTTCAGGGTCCTTTGGTGGCATTCACAGTCACCTCCTGATTGCTAAGTGCTTCCAGTGCCTAAATGAGCTCCAAGAGAGCTGGAGAGATTCTTTGGGCAAGGGGGAATGGCTTCACACTGCCAGAGGGCAAGGTTAGAGGAGATATTGGGAAGGAATTCTTCCCTGTGAGGGTGGTGAGGCCCTGGCACAGGTTGCCCAGAGAAGCTGTGGTTGCCCCATCCCTGGAAGTGTTCCAGGCCAGGTTGGATGGGGCTTGGAGCAACCTGGACTAGTAGAAGGTGTCCCTGCCCATGGCAGGGGTGGAACGAGATGAGTTTTAAGGTCTCTTCAACCCAAATTATTCTTAGACTGTATGTTTTCTAGTAGTCAAAAGAATTAATTTTTCTTCTTCTTTTTAATTACTGAGAATCCTTTCCACCCCAGATAAGGGTTGGAAGTCAATCTCAGTTTCACAAGCTGCAGGAGCTGTTGCAGGGATGCCCCAGGCTCCTTCCCTCTCGCCCAATTTCCCACGCCAGCCACATTGATTTATGAACTCCCTGTTGAAATCAATGCCCTTAAACTGCTGATTTCTCTGTGTCCACACACGACTTCTCCATCGACTCCTGGCTGGCAGCACTGGGGCTGATCTGGAGTGTGAGATGAAGATGTCTCCACA